GGACTGTATTCACAGTGTCAGGGAGGTAGTTTGGTACACAGGAAGGTCAACATGCATGCCAATAATCGCACTACTAGTACTATTTACATTGAAAAGGGAGGATGCTGTAATACACTGCTCTATGTTTAAAAACAGTGACAACACACAGCCATGCAAATGTTAAGGCTATTCTCTGGCCATTACTCCATTATAAGAAGCAAAAGAAACTAAGAATGCATTTGTAACATGAATTCCATGTGCTTTTCAGTTGTTATCTCAGCTGTGAAAGGCAGCAGTAATTTTTTCCCCTCACAGCAGCTGCATTAAGAGAGACAGTTCCCATTTAGAAAAGCAATCTAACATTATTTCTAATATAGACTTAATCTGCCCTTTTTAAACTAATCACTTTGGTTCCAGTCCACCTCTTGATCCATGCCAGTATCACATTTGGAGATTTGAAATTGTCAGGTCATGTTTAGCCTTGTTTCGGTCAGGGTATCTATAAGTACACCCATGTCATGTTTTTTTTTTAAACCTCATAACCCAAATCATCATTTTTTAACTTGAGTTTATGGATTTAATCTCTGTGGGTTTAGAGGAATAGATTTTCACTCATAATGCTTTGAAGTTCTTGTTGAAAAAACGACTGTTATTTGTGAAAGGGTTCGGGTTTACTGGACTGAACTGACTGTGCTATTAATATATACCTTTTTGTCTTTTCTTCTAGGACTACCTGGATGCCCTAATGGGTGTGTGCTATGATGGGGTGGAAGGACTCCTCTACCTGTCTGTGTTTTCTCTGCTGGCTGCATGCACACTCACTGCCATGCTCTGCGTGATGTTCAGACTGTGGACACTAATGGGCAGCAGGTCAGCACAGAGCAGCCCCCTTATCCTTTTACATACTGTCTGGAATACGCTCCCGCAAGGTGTCATCGCATGCACTCTCTCTGTTTCTGTCTTTGTCTGTATGTACCACTTTCATCCAGAGACAAAGAGTATGATGATATAGATGAAGAGGACCCGTTCAACCCCCAAGCACGGCGGATATCCTACAACCCCAGAAGGTCCAATGTCCACAGTTTCTGTAGCTTTACCAGCAGCCTCGGGAGCCAGCCCAGCCTTCATCCGCCTCTGCAATCTGCTTCTAATGTCATACCACCTCCAGAATACATGTAAGATCAATCGATGACCACAGCATGTTAGTACCTGTTTGTATTAGTATCTCTTACCACCTTTCCTTCCCTCTCTGTCACAGGAATCAGTCCATGCTGTTTGGAGGGAGTCCTCGATATGAGAACGTGCCGCTGATAGGGAGAGGATCCCCACCTCCCTCGGTGCGTTGGCCCTATGAAGCTATAGTGTCCCTAGTGTGATGACAATGATGGCACTACTGACCTCAACACTGATGCAACACTAACAGCAAGCATGCATAGCAGCACCATGACCATTTACTACATAAACACTGTATAGAGCCTCAGGCTGTCGCCACAAATGAGGGGAGTAATGCTGCTTTGTAAGTGATGGAAGACTGCTCTCTGCTGGCCATTGAATGCAGTGCACTCATTTTAAACCCAGTGCCATCTATGCATGCATGCAAACACACACTCACTAATAAGCTCTGAGCACATGCACGTGTCCTTTTCACCACTGCCTTGGATTGTATTTCTAATTCATACAAAGTATTGGTTAAGACTAATGCATACATTTATGTATGTGTGAAATAACTATGTGTTTTTGTTGAATAAAAACACATAGGTTATCTAATTTTAATGGTAGTCTGTAAGCGTGCGCTGTGTCTCCAGAGCTGAAGCTAGATAATAGATAACACTGGTGAATCCACAGTTAAAGATTCTTTCAGGTGAAGTTTCTCTCTATTAACTTTTCTGTTTGCGTGGCTGACTCAAGTGTTTGAACTGTGTTCACAGCGTGCCAAAGACTTGAAACACCTTTTGAGAGAGAGAATGTGGACCATTGTTTAAAATTTAACAAGTTTGCCTCTGTGAGATACATTTTTATTTGTTGCTGTAACAGAGATGCTTGGAACTATGGGAAAGATATTTGCAGTAAATCGACTACACTGCAGTGTGTGAATCTGCAGGGAGAAATATGTGTAGTTTTGTTTTGTTTTTTGTGAATCAGCTTTTGCAATGCATTTTACTCACGCTTTTATGCAAGCAGTTTCTCAAGGAGGTATCTAACTGGTGAATATAAACCAGTGATTTGTAACTAACCCTTTTGTTATTTTATTTTTATTCTCAGACTTTTAAAAGCCGTAAGTTTTCTGTTGTATAACTTCTTCCTGATTTTTTTGATTTCATTTCCATTCCACTCCTTGAAACACCCTGTGGAACATACCTCTGTAATGACGCTTGCTATGCAGGATGTTCTAACCTATAACCCAAAGCTCCATACAGTACCTCAGCTGTGTGACCTTTGACCTTCTGGCACTGTTTTATCCACAGTGTGTTACATGTGAGTGTTAACTTATTCTGTGATCCCTGACTCATGCCTTCTGTCTGCTATTCACCTGCTCTTTAAGTCCTTGCTACCATCCCCTGATTCTACAACCTCCTAATTAAAGAGCAGCTCATTATCTCCCCAAACTTAGATCTCAAATCACACCATTTTAATATTTCATTTGACATTTTAGATTTTGTTGTTTAAATGCAGATATGCTAAATTGTGTTTCTCAATCATCTCCCTTGCAGTATTCACCCAGTATGAGGACCACCTATCTATCTATGACTGATGCCCAGATCAGACACTTTGGGACTGACTTCCAGGTGTAGCCTGCTACCTACTGAATCCTTTTGAGAGAGGTACTGTCTGAGACTGAGTTCTTACCAAGGAGGCTGTCTTCGTGGCATAATCCTGTTTACGGGAGCTGCAGCCTGCTGTCCCAATCTGAGATATGAAAGCAAACTATATGAGGCAAATACCTCAGTAACACACCACTGCAGCGCTCTGAAAGCCCTGCATGCACTTTTGAACAGAGTGCCTGTACAGGTTCACTTCAAGACTGTTGTTGATGTTGTCATGATGTGTGAAAATACTGTTACTGCAATGTAAGCATTCCCATGAGCCAAATCAAAAGCGTTTGAACTGATTGAATCAACAAACAAAAAAAAAAAATTTGTTTTTTCTTATGTTCCGGTGGCCTGCATGGATATGATCATCAATACGGTCAGTACCCATAGACCGTCCATCATGGCATTTAGATTTTTTTCAAAATCCCTACTCTGTGGCAGTAATTTATTCCCTCATATATTAGGCCTTTGTGTAATTTTTAATGGTGCTATATGAAAATGAAACAACATATTTTCAACTTTTCAAAATATTAACAGAATGTCTCAGTGAAAACCATACCAAATATTGTAGTTTTTTTGTTTTATTCTTTACTTTCTAGGTAAGTAACTATCACAGGTTTAATCATCTCTTTGTTCAAGTTGTATTACTGAATTGCAATATATGACCTGCTGATCAGGGATGGGTGAAATTGTCAGAGCTGATGGGTTTATTAGGGTTTTGCTTTATATGGAGACCAAATAGCACACACCCCCAGGCCTAAATAACCACAACAGAATGGGATTCAATTCGCCTGCAGGCATTTATTACAGTGTTGTTACACAACTGGTACAGTATGAACTGAATATACAAACATTTAATGTTTGTTCTCAGTCCTTCAGCCCTCATTATTTTATGAATGAGAAATTGTTCTCATCAGTTTTGGAGTAATCTGTTGTATGCTGTTTTCTGTTTTGGATAATGTATCAAACTAAACCAATGTTTGACCATAAATGCTGTATTCAGATTGTGTGTTGTTGTGTCATTCTTCTTTATACACAACAAGTAATCATTTACGACTGATTGTTTAATCATTTACTCCCTTTCTGATAGCCTAGAATCACCTGTAGTAATGGGATTGGGCTAATTGGGATACCTGATGATGGGGCACATGGGGCAAAATCCTTAGCCAGTACCATAAATGTGAAAAAGTGGTAGAAAATGCATCTCCAGAGATGTTAGAAATGATAGCTCTTGCAGGGAGCAATGGACTATGTCTTGAATACATATTATAGGGCAACTTAACACCAGACTTAAATAGTAGTGTCCTCTCTGAGTGAAAGTCTGTTTCACTTCTGACCACAAGAAGCATTACTGAATACTTCTTCCACCCCTGCCCAAATGTGATGAGAGGTGTCCTGGAGAAGGCTACATCATTACATCAAGGTTAGTTAGTTGAGTTTCTTATCGTTTCAAAAAATCCCTTTGTCCTGCTGCCTGAAGAAAAAGCATCAAGCGGCAGAGTGCAACATCACCAACAATCAAGAATTTAGTTCTTGAAGTGCAAGTGACACACCTGGTATATCACAAGGATTTGTTTATCAGAGCTGTACTGGAAGGTACGAAGTGAATTACTGGATGACTGCAAAAACAAAGTTGTACGGTCAACCGGAAACAAATGTAAACTAATTGTGTCCAGCTGTGATAGATGTAAACACTATTAACAGAACCACCCGCAGGCTATAGCCTCCTCCTGTTTTCCTTTTCAGCTCTGGTGGGTAAATTCAGAAGATTTTGAAGAAGTGTCGAAATCGCTGTCCAAGGTGCTGATCCCAGTACCATCGGGCAGTCGGGAGCTCTTAGGGCCTGTAGGTCATGCTGACAGCTATGTAACCTACTGTTTTATTTCATTTATTTATTTATGGCTGACAAGATTATCATTTCAGACAAATATGTTATATTAGTAAGCTTGGCGGCGGTGGCTTCTGCTGGTTTTGTTGCGTTTATTGTCACAACTCATCAGCATTTTATTTATTTTTTATCTGGTCACCGACTGCAGGCCTAACGTATCTGTGCTGCACATATATCGGGACAGTTGTGATATGTCTGCTTTATCAGGATGCTAGTACTGAGACAGCTGAAGCAATGTCTGCATGTTTATCTGACTTTGTGACTGGCGCGAAATCAAGTACTAACAGACTACAGGCTGACTGTACTGCCTCGCTTGCCGTAGGAAACACGGAAAAACTGTGGACATGGTGGTAGCGTAGCCAGTTAGCCTGCTAGCCGGTTGAGGCTGTTTATTATAATGGAAAAATGTTCCGCGAAAGGCGATAATTTGTCTGTTGATAAGGGGGGACGTGGAGGGCATGTGGCTAAATAATGGGAAACGTTTTTGGGAGAAAGAGTCGACCTTCTCGTGTAACTGAACAAGACAAAGCCATTTTGGTGAGCTGATAGCTGTTATAGCTGTTAGCAGCAGATTAGTCCCGTTACCTTTTTAACACAAGTGTTAGCTGCACAGCGCTGTGGCCACTAGGGAACCTGTTTTAATGTTAGCCGATGTTATTCACCAGTAAACAGACTTCCTTGGCTGGGACGAAGTGTTCAGCCCCTGTGTCTGTGACAGCAGAAGTGGGAAATAGAAACCCCTGTACACTGCAATGCAGTACAAACAGTCATGCAACACATATTTATATTATATATATATATATATGTTTTGACACATTGTCAGATATGTGATGATTTAATTCTATAATCGTTTGACTGTCACTATCTGTGTGTCTATTTTTTGCACATCAGTCCGCTAAATACTTTTAAAAATATTTCTGACTTCTTTCTACAGCAATTGAAGCAGCAGAGAGATAGGCTGAAGCAGTACCAAAAGAGAATCACCCTACAACTGGAGAAAGAGCGACTTCTGGCAAAGCAGTTGCTAAAAGATGGCAGGAAAGAGTAAGTTTAGCAGAAAAAAAGAAGCTAGTATGCCGTTATTATTTTACCCCTGAAACAATATAACCATGTGGCGTTAGTCACAGCACTATGAATGCAGGAAATGTAAAAAAGTTCAAGGTTATTAGGTAAAAATAATACATATGTTTGACCTAATTGCAGCTTTAACCTTTACTGCTTGAAAATACTGTATTATATAAATGTGTGGTGTCCTACAAGTAATGGTAGTTAAGGACACTGTAGTAGGTTTTGATTCAAAACAACATTGCATGCATTATATGACAAACTGCACACAGATATTGACACTTTTGAAATCTCCTTAGGCAGCAGACCCCTGTCCTCAGTAGCCTCATCTGTAATTGTATCATTGTTTCATTCTGAATACCTTAGAAACAACATACTCTTTGTTGTATTATGTTTTGCCTTTTGTATTTGTTATTGCAGAAAAGCACTGCTGCTTCTTAAGAAAAAACGATATCAAGATCAGCTACTAGACAAGACTGAAAATCAGATTTCAAACCTAGAGCACATGGTAAGTTTTGTGAGATTACACTGATTGATCACGTTTTAAGTCACCGAGTCGCAGCAAAGGGAAGCATTAGGTTTAAAGAACAAGAAAAAAGGTTCAGTGTGATGAAATTTTTAAATATTCTGCTTAATCAACCTGAAAGCTGTAGTGTTATTTCTGATTTCTTACTGCTGTAATTCATCAAGCATGATTTCTTCAAAATCCAACCTTACTCTGAGCTGCAAAATGTGTAGAGAATGATAGGTGGTGCCATTTTCTTTCTTTTCTTCTTCTTTTTTTTTTTTAATTTCTTTTTTTTTATACAGTTTATGGCTGAAATTCAATGTAGTCAGGACTTATTTGTGTTGAAATACTGTATATAATATAATGGCCCACTATGTATTCAATGTTGTATGAGGGAACTACAACAGAATAGCTATAAATAATAGCAACATTTTTATTTTTGTTTGCTTGTGATGCATGTCTGTACTTTTGCAATTATATTTTTTACACGCCTAATATTTGTCAACAGGTTCAAGATATTGAGTTCATGCAAATTGAGATGAAAGTCGTCGAGGGGCTTAAGGTCGGAAACGATTGTCTGAAGAGTATGCACAAGGTAGATATACTTTAGTGTTGTTTTCCTGCCTTTTGTGTTTAGAAACGTACCGTTCGCATTCATGTGATAATAATACCCCCGTTGGCTCTAGATATGTGAGTATGCACAATGTCCAAGTTTCCACTGATAGGCACACTTTCTTTTATTGAGCAGCGGAGAGAGCTTGTGGTTTGTGTTAGCATCGCGGGTGCACATTGTTTGAAGATTAAAGGATTAAGAGGCAAAGCCATGAGTACAGCGGGTTCACTGCTGCACATCCTTGGATATAGTGCACAGATCTTGCTCAGGAAATTTCACAAGCCAGCCAGAATATGTGGAAAGCCCCTTTCATCCTAAACACTTTTCTTCTGTAATATGGGCGTCCTTTTCTCGTTTGTGACAGCTCATGTCGATTGAAGATGTGGAGAGAATCCTGGATGAGACCCAGGAGTCAATTGAATATCAAAGGGTAAATGTTTTCTCGATGTCAGTCAAGTCTACCTGTACAGACATATTTAGGATATATTTGTCCAATAATTGTTTACTAAAACCAGTATTGTATGTGTTTATATATAAGTTACGAGCTTGATATTGGATAAAATTCACTAGCGTTGGACTATAAATATTGTTTTTTGATTCAATTTTAATTATGTTGTATTTGACCCTTAACTAATCTTATCATTTCTTCATATTAAAGTATACTATATGTGTATATAAAGTCAGCAAAAAACAGAGCTGTCACCGTGCTGTCAGCTAACACATTTTTTTTGCTCCTGCAGCAAATAGATGAAATTCTGGCTGGAGCCCTGACGCAGGAGGATGAGGACGCTGTTTTAGCAGAGCTGGAAGCTATCACTCAGGTGGGTGTTAAGCTGCGAGTTTAACCTTTTTTAATGCAGAGAATGTTTGCTGAGCCTGCATGCTTTTTTTTCCTGTAAAACCCCATTTCCCATTTAGAGTTACGCACACTGAGGCCTGGTGTAACCACAGGCTTCAGCCACTTTGCGCTTCCCCTGGAGCAACGCCGTGGTTAAAGCCGTGATTCAGAGTTGAGTCGTGGGGATTTCATAAATACAAAAACTGCATGTTTGTATTTTGCCCTTAGATTTGTACAATATCCAGGAGAGGAATAATTCTAGCAAAGTTTAGAAGCATTTCGAAGGAAGCAACAATATCATTATTTGTGTAAAATAACAGGCTGTAGAATTGAAACAGTTCAAACAATCATAATGATTAAAATCTCAGCAGATTTCTTCTTTTGTGATCTAATTATTATTCCAAATGACACACACCCTCAAGACTACCAGACTACACAAATGATTGTTTCACTCTTGAACACGTACAGAGATTCCAAGTCTTCTCAATTTGACAAAAATGGGTGTAATTTTCCTTGTTAGAAGTTTAGTTTATGTTTTGGATGTATTTAGTGACTTAAAATGGATCATTTAAAATTGTAACCAAAAGCCTTTCTCAGTTGTTTCTCTTGATAATTTATCCCCTAAATTCTAAAGCTTGCATTGACAAAATATCAACTTTTTGGGAACTACAAATATGTTTTTAGCTTGGACACTAAATATGTTTGCGCACCTTTAGTTGGTCAGCGAAACCGAAATAACAGTGAAATTATTGTTACTCTGTCCCTTCTCCTAAAACAGGTAGAAGATGTAGCACTTCCAGAGGTCCCCACTGAGCCACTACCCGAGGTCCCAGAGGCGGCTAAAGCTGAGCCAGGTACAGCTAATTTTCTTATTTCACACCACGGAGCATTCCTTTACACACTTGTAGTTAATTAATGCCAGACTGATCATATTTACTTTACTTTGACTTTCTTTTCTAGAGAGGAGAGAAGCAAAGAACAAGCCAGACCGAGAGATGTTGGCAGCCTAACAGACTGTAGGCTGTCTTTGCACTGATGGGCACTTCAATTTCAGTATTTCATCCTTAATTGTTAGAAGATGAAGGTGCAAACATTTTACAGGATCAGCACTGTGTCTATACTCTGGTTCACCGCTCACCTAAGTGTCTACATAAAGGACATGAAATGTTTTATTCCTCTATCTGACTATTTTTTAGATGTTTTACACATTCATTCAGTTGTTCTACATATTAAACTGAGCTGTGACAACAATATGTTTTCTAGACTTTTCTTTCATAAACCTATTAATCTTGTTCTTGTTCTCTATTTGAAACTGTGTTAAATAAGTTAGCATCTATGGCTATTACCATGGAGACATGTTGACATGCTCAGTTTGTGTACCGTGCTTTCTCCAGAAGGGGGCACCCCTTGCTAGTTTTCCTCCCCCTCTTGACTTCAGCAGTATACAAAACAGGTGTCTTCAATCACATCCCTGCAGTGAAGTGTTTGTGTGTGCTTATTGACAGAAAGTAGAAAACTCATGTTGCAGAGATGTGGGAGATGTTTAGACAAGAACGCCAATATAGTATTTACAATCGTACACTAAGTGGGCACTTAGACTCTAATTAGTATTTACAATGAAGCTAACACAAATTACCCACTGTAAGAAAAACATCACCTATGGTGTTACCTTTTATACAATCTATGGGTGTTACTGAAAACAGAGTATGACTTGCTTGCAGCCTTATGCAGTGCAGTTGTACATAAAATATTTTGTAAACAGAAGACAAACTTCATGGCAACAACTATACTGCACATCATTGTCATGACAGCTTGCACAAAGGCTTTAATGAGCAGAGGCATTCACCACACTGGTTCTCTGAGATCGCTGATTTGCTCTGAAGACAATGGGCCCTTACACCTTTGTGTAACCTTTGCCTGTAGGCTAATTGTTTTATATGTATGCAAATATAAGCGTAGACTGTTTCTCACCCTCATCATAACACAGACTAGAGGTGTTAATTTAAATGAGTAAATATATAATGTACTAATAATTTTCCAGTATTGAAATATTATGTAAATTGTAGATAAACAAATGTGACTCTGTAAGGGGGGGGCACCAAATCTGCACTTTGACAAAAATGGTGCTGCGTTATAATGCTGTAGGAAATATTGTATTCAGCGTTTGAGCGCGTAAGTATGTAGTGTGGAAACCATGTCAACATGGAAGTCCTTTTTATTAAATGTCACTGACCGTCTTTATAATGTCCCTTTTGCTAAATGCTAGCCTTGATTAACAACTTTAGGCTATTATTTTAAGCTACAGTTATTTAGTTTCAACAATGTTTTGCGAATAAGTACATCCGGCAATTCGTCCAGCCCACAACCGGTGCACGGGTTGTTTTTATTTAAATATTATAAGGATAAATTTTATACTTACGCGACTGACATTTTTATATTCTGAACTTATGCTGCGCGTCTGAGATTGCGAGAATATGAAGCTCCCGAGGAGTCCGTGAAGGCACCAGCGGGCTGTCAGCTGCGGAGAGGGAAGGTGTGTTTAGTAGGAGTGGGGTTTCGGGAGAGAAGTAGCGTCTGTCTCTCACGGGCGCATTGCCTCGCCTATTGTTTGTTCAAACTCGTGTATATACCCATTCCCCCCTTTCACGCGGATACACGTTTAAAGGAAAAAAACGTTTATGGTCCTGGCTGAAGATTTCACGATGTCTCGCACCGACGAGGTTCACCGCATGACGGAAAATGTCTATAAGGTAATGTTCAACTAATGAATAAAGTTTTGAGACGCCTAGGATAATATAATTTAAGTTATCGGGCACAGTTTCACCAGACTTCATTAGCCAGTGGACAAGGCGCATTTAGACGGACAGGCCTAGGTTTTTTTCTTCTTCGATAATCTCTTTAGGGAGAGGCGCAGTAGCTCAGTTGGGCGATTTATTTATTTTGGATCAGTTTCCAAGTGACCAAAATGATCTCTCTTCCATTTCCATATCTCTTTGCGCTTAAGTTTGATTATTAAGGCACCGCCTCTCACCTAAAATTGCCCCCATGCTTACAAATCAAAGTCACGCACAGGCTATTCCTACATGCAGGAATATGTTGTACTCCTGTAGTCCACCTACACTGATAGTAGGCTATTCCAGGGATACTGGTGGGTTTCTGTAGCCTAGTCTCTTGGGGAAATGGTAAAATATCGCTTTCCAGTAGTCAATGTTTGTCGGGCAGAGAAGGTTGGGCTTATATGTTGCAACAAGTAGGCTTAAACATTTGCCCTCACATTTGCATTCAAACCTGTGATACATGAAAAAAAAACCCTGTGTGAACTTGGCATGCAATATTGTTAAGCCCCAGTAGGCTATACTGGAAAAAAAACTTTACCTGTAAAAAAATAATAATAATAGAAGGGATTGCATCTAATGATTATTTTTTTTGAAGATTGATCTCAATTATTGTTTTCCTAGGAATTATTGATCAAATTCTCGCATTCCATTTTATCTTCATATTGCGTGTGTTGTCCAACCAGCAGTCCAAAACCAAAATGTATTCAGTTATGCAATGGTTTAAAATGAGTGGCTATTAACTAACAATGACTGAAAAGTTGAATTGATTATGAAAAGGGTTGCTGATTTAACTTTATATGGAACACCTACTCCATCAATCGACTCATTGTATGTTTCCTAATTCATTTAAACTTACTTTGGGCTTTGGTTCACTGGCTTTGTCTGATTTCAGAGTTGCAGGCATCTACTCATGGATTGCTAACAAAGCTTCATGTTATGGGGGCTCCACACCTGTGTCTTGTGATAATCTCGGGGTCTCTATTATGATTAGAACTCACCGATACTAGAGGAGACCTCTTTCAATATATTTAGTCAATATATTTAGTCATTATAACCCCTAACAGAAGGCCAGTAATGCTTAACGAGAGTAGCTCCTCATTCTCCTTCAGGGAATAGACATATATCAGAAAGGAGGTCAGATGAGCAGAGAGCACTGACTGACTACTAAATTGGACGTGCTAAATTGGTCACTCAGCCTACAGTGTATCTTTATCATTGTGAATTGTAGGCCTATGCAGTGCTCTGTCAGGGTTTGTCTAAGTGTTTATACTTACTAATGCTGGTTTATCAACATAGACACACTGTAGGTGTCTGGATCCCAAACCCTTGGGGAGAAGGCTCCTCTCACGGTCTTGCTTACTTCAGTTCAAGTCCAGCAGTGGGGCTCTGTCACTGGGGATGAACGCACCCCGTCAGAGTCCTGACAGCCAGGAATGCTGATGGGGCAGTGGAGTGGAGAGACGCAGTCCCTCTTCCACACTTGGGATCTGACCTCTATCAGGTCACAGAGCGCGTTTTCTAAAGTCACTGCTTATTTGGCACTCCTCGTGCTTTCTTCAGCAACCCTGCAGTGTAAAGGCAGCTTTTTTTAATGTGCTTTAATATTTAAAGAGAGGTTAAATTTGACTCCTGCCATATCTCAGGGGTGAAAAGCATCAGTCTTTCAAAGCATGTGTGTTTTTAGATGTTTATACCCTCAAAACAAAATGGATGGTGGTTTATTGTAGGGCTAGCCGGTAATCAGCATGTTTCGTTGCTGAAATCTGCTGCTATTAGTTTGGATGCATAATGACGCATTGTCTTAAGTTGAAGTGCAGACTGTCAACTTTAATTTCAAGGGCTTGTCAGCCACATTGGGGAAACAGTGAAGCTGCAAGGCTTGTTGCATATGTATTAAAATTATATAAAAATCATAGGACTTATGTAAGTTATTGATATTACGCTTATTAAAAGTAAAGCCCCATCTTTAGTGACACAGACAGCAGGGCACATTGGTTGGGCATTTCTTACCATATTGCAGATTGAGACTCAGGGTTGATGTTAGGGTGACTTGTTGTAGCTTCTTACCTTTTTATTATACAGTTGCTAATTGTTTGCACTGATGATTAAACATAGAGACTTTTATGCACTGCCAAGTGGCTGGCTGGCTGTCACCGAACATTAACTTTGGGGAATATTAATGGCATTTTAACTTTCATAACACCGGCTGCCCACAGTAACCCTGCCCATTTCTCTCTCTTCTCACTCCACATTTAAAATGCCTCTGTAGACAGTAATTGTGCGTGTCTGCTTTGTATGCAAGCAACCATCTCCTGAGGAAAGAGGAGATGTAAAAACATACGGCGGCTGCAAAATCATTGCAGCCAGCAGCTGGGCAGATACTGAGTAATCGCAGGGGAGAAGAGGGGGGTAACTGCACTGCTCTGACTCATGTTAGCCCAGTTGAGTGTGTGTGTTTAACAGGGCTGGGAGTGTAGGCACAGTGAGGGTAAGACTGGAGGTTCAGAATCTCCCTACAAGCATTGTTCCCTTGGTAAAGGCCAGAGGCACTCCTTAGTTTTTTGAGATGACTTTATCTGAACAGGGGAGTCAACCCTGTAAACCCAACAATTCGAGCATGATCCTCTGACTCACTTCAGTTCTCCTCCCTCACATAGACAGGCAGTTCCAGACGTGGATGTCTAGTCATTCCCCTGGCTGACAGGGTGAAACAGATACTTAAGACTGACACTCAGTGCTTGCATGTTTGTGTATGTGTGTCTCCTCTCCACCAGCTGGCCGTGTCACTGGTTGTCCGATAGAGGTGGTGGCCCTGGTCAAGCCTCTTAACATTCTGATGGATGAAGTCTGAGCACTGACCTGGTGGGGGGGTGAACAAACAGATTAATCAGACTAGAAGCTGAAGAAGAATGGGGCTGTGTGTTAAATCCGGAAAAAAAACACCTTTTTATTGCAACCATGATTTCCGCCGTAGACCTTTTAACTTTTAAGAGTAAAGGTTGTGGGAAGTTATGTGGAAGCGAGACGGTTAAACACACCCTTTAACACAATATAATTTTTACTTGTATTTATCCAGAGGCTTTGTCATAGGAAGTGTGTGTGTTCTGTGCCCAATATATGCGGTGCAGGTTTTAAAACACACCCAGGCAGGTAAGGGAATAGAAGGGTGTGTCTTGTCTCTACCAGCCCTCAGGATAACACTCATTTTCCCATGCAGAGGCACTCCCTAATTGTCAACACAGCATGGAAAACAGCGAATGCCATTTTCTCAAATGGCTGTTATGAAGAAAGCAAAATAGGTGGTTGACGTCAACTGGATCAAGTGTGATACTCAGTGCTCTCTGGTTATAGGATCTTCATTGTGTCACGGGTCTGCTGCAGTACGCAGTTTGATAAAACCCTGATCTGAAATGCAGCATTTTTTGCAGACGAGACATTTTTGTTACATAATGGGTTTCTCTCTCAGTTGGAAAATTGTCGTGACATTCACTACACTCAAATGAATGATATTCTGATAATGATAAGAGGACTACGGTTTCACCACAATCTCATGTGGGAGATCTGAACAGGTGGTCTCTTAGCAACAACGTGCCATTATTCTTATGTGTTTCTGTCATATCATTGTGCTAAAAGACTTGCAGTTGGTGAAGGGCTGGAGAAGGCGAGTGAGAGGGAGAAAAAGCGATGGAGAGGGGGGTTACGTAGTGTGTTTTCAGAAAGAGATAAAAGGGAGATGTTGAACCTGTCGTAATTGAGGTAAAAAATACATCATAAAATCCCCATAACGGGTCCAGTGTAAACCCGCCCTGTCTGCTGTCTATACACTGCTGTGGATTTCCCCTGTGGTCTTAAATTAAGAAGTCATCTGGAGTCACTTGATTGAAGATGCCATCCATCACTTATTTACCCTTTTCTCTAGCAGTATATCACATCAGGCGCCACTTGCCTTATAATACGCAATTTAATTGAGTTTAAAATGACTTCAGCTCCTGAACATCTGCCTCCACGAATATAGTGTTTCAACAAGTTTATGCCTGCTGGTGCCCGGGGCCTTGAAAAGATTGCATTATGCACTGCAGGAGATATCATAACATTCATTGCCTGTGGAACAGCAGATTTGTTCCCTGTGCCTTTGACTGCGATGCAGAAAGAGGACTATTGCTCCATACACCCACCTTCTCTGCACGTCCGGGGGCGGATGGTTTAGAGACATTCTCTCTTTTCTTTTACTCATCACTGCTTTTTTTTTTTCAAGGACGGAGACTGGAGATGCTCAGTGCTAAATCCAAGGCTACACTGTTTTGAGTAACGTAGCCTTTGCTGATAGAAGAGGTTGATTTGAAGCCACCTTGTTAACATGGCCATAGTCCAAAATATTACCTATCCTTCACAAAAGTGGAACACAAGGATATTCTTTACTTTATAGAAAGCATTTAAATGCTTTATTGTGGGGGTGGAAGAGAAGGAGATGAAGAGAAGGAAAAATAGATGGAGACATTCCACATCCTTGTTGAAATAGTCCCTAATTACTGTGGAGGGTGAAGCTGTAATTATACAGAATGAAAGAGACACACAGAAGCAGAGACAGAAAATTTCACTTGGTACTGTGGCAGTGGACAATGGCCTTATATTTATGGGCCATGGGCTGCAGTTAACATGCCTGTGGCTAGTGTTACTGTATGCTTCTGTGGCAGATGTTGCTACTTTCAGTAGCATTGGCTACACTACACCCACTAGGAAAATGAGCAGGCAACCATAGTGCTTCTCTGAGCCCCAAACCAGTCATGCTGTTGTACAGAAAGTAGGAAATTCGACTTACATAGCCAATGGTTTGGATGTTCATTTTGGTGAGGACATTGTCAAGCAGTGAAACTTTGCCATTGGGCTGTAAAGTGACTAATGCAACAGACACG